TCTCTAGGTTCGATAAGAATCTGGACCGGGAAATTAAGGTGTTTGGCAGTGGCCCAGTGGAACTAAGCCAGTACAGTCCAAGGCTGGAGTGCTACCTGGTGGCTTGTGCAGATATTGCATTCTAGTCTCCAATCCCCTTTGGTGCCAACATAAAGCATACCCATCTTCACACCAGTTTGTTTGACATACTACTATGCACCGACAGTTTTCTTCTGACCCTTCCCTTTTCAGATTTGCAAGATGCCAGACAAATCCATCCTTACCAAAACTGGTTAGGTTTGCTACATCTCTTATATTTTAAGTTGTGGTCTGGATATCTAAATTCTTTTCTTAGACTCTAGCTTCTGAATCAGCTGGTCACTTTCCACATTTTCTTTTTTTTTTTCTTTTACATCCCTTTCTACTAGCTGTGAGGTTCAAATGAGGTCATATCCAAAAAGTACTTTTCAGACTTTGAACCCCATATAATAGTCAGTAATCATTATTGCGGTTGTTTAGCGAGCAGCAATCATGAACAATTCCACCTGTGCCCCTTAGACCTGGAGAGGCATTCTACTAGCCCCTTTACCTTCTCTTCTAGAGAAGGCTGAATGGAGGATGGATTGAAGTGGGGAGAGACTTGAGGCAAGCACAACCAGCAGCAGGCTATAGTAGAAGGGCAGGTGTGAGATGATGAGAGACTGCATTAGAGTGGTAGCAGTGTCAGAGGAGGCAAGGAGGCATATTTGAGAGATGCTGCAAAGCTGAAATCAATAGGCATTGACAATAGATTGGAAAGGGGAAATGTATGGTGAGAGACATTGAGGAGTCTAGGATGACACCTAGTCTGGAAGCCTGAGTGACTGGGAGGATGGTATTGTTCTCAACAACAGGGAAGTAATAGGTAAGGTAGGAGGGGATAGGATTTAGGGGGAAAGATAACGAGCTGTGTTTTTGGATATGTTGAATTTAAGATATCTATTGGATTCCTGGTTGAAATGTCTGAAAGGTAGGTGAAGATACAAGACTGAAGGTCAGCAGAGAGGTTAGGGCCGGATAAGTAGATTTGAGAATCACCAACATAGAGATGGTAATTAAATCCATGGAACTGATGATATCACTAAGTGAAGTAGTACAGAGGGAAAAGAGAAGATTGAGGACAAAACCCTGTAGGACCCTATAGTTAGAGAGTATGATGTGGATGAGGGTTCTGCAAAGAAGACTGAGAAGGAAAGTTCTGATAGGTAGGAGGAGAACCAGGAGAGAGTAGTGTCCTGAAAACTTAAGAGATAAGAGAGTATCACTGAGAAGAGGGTGATCGACAGTGTCAAAGGCTGCATAGAGGTTGAGGAGAATGAGGATTGAGAAAAGGCCATTTGGTTTGGCAATTAAGAGATCATTGATAACGGGAGAGAACAGTTTCATTGGAATGATAGGGTCAGAAGCCATATTCTAAGAAGACAATGACAGGAGACAAAGTGAAGACATTTATTATAGATGAAGTTTAGATACAAAGGACAGTAAAGATACAGGATGATTATTATTGGGGATAGAAGGATGAAGTGAGGGCTTTTTAAGGATGGTGGAGACGTGATTGTAGGCAGCAGGGAGGGAGCCAATAGACAGGGAGAGATTAAAAATAAGTGAAGACTGGGGATGGCAGAAGGAACAATCTGCTGGAGATAGGCTGGAATGGATCACTGGAACAAGTGGAGGGGCTAGCTTAGAGTAAGGCCATCTCTTTATTTGAGACAGGGTGAAGGAGGAGATAGTGGCAGATCACATCTGAGTGACACGAGATGAAGAAAAGCAGTGAAGAAGCTTACAGTGAATGGCCTTGATTTGTTTCTGTAAAATATGAGGCAAGGTTTTCAGCTGAGATAGTGGGGGCAGGGAGGGCCAGGGGAGGCTTGAGGGGGGTTGAAAAGGTTTGGAAGAGCTGCTGTGAAGACTAGGATAGTGAGTTGATAAGGCAGGTGTAATAGGATTGCCTAGCAGCAGTGAGGGCCCAGTTGAGGTTGTGTAAAATAAATTTGTAGTTGGCCAATCAGAATACTTGTGTGATTTTCTCCACCTTTGTTCAGCAGTGCGTGTGTAGGAACAAAGGTGGCAGGTGGTGGGAGTGATACAAGGTTGAGATTTGTCAAAGCTCAATATTCACTATGATAAGGGGGCTAGGGACTCAAGAAAAGAGGACAATGTAAAGTTGAACTGGTTCACCAAGGGGGTCAAGATGGAGAAGAGAGGAAAAAGTAGCTAGTGCAGGGGTAATAGCCTGGGAGAGAACTGAGAGGTGGAGGAATTGGAGGTCATGATACGGATGAAGAGCAGAGTTTGGTAAGAGAAAGCAGAAGAGGTGGAAAGCCAATAGATTATGGTCAGATAAGGGGATTTTGGAATTCTTGAACATGGAGGTGGTACATTCACTGGTGATGGCAAGATCAGTGGTGTGACCATCTTTTTGTGTCACTGGGGTGGGGTGAAGGAGCTCATAGGAAGTGAGTAGGATGAGGAACAAAGTGATTAAGGTGTTTGAAGGAGAGTCAATATGTATGCGGAGGTCCCCTAGTAGGAAAGCAGGAGTTGGGGAGGAGGGAAAAATTGTGAGTCAGGTACTAAACTCACTGGGGCAAGAACGCTAGTGACCTGGAGGTCTGTAGACAATAGTTACCAGGATGTTGATTGTATGGGAGATATGAATTGCATCAAAGGAGGCAGGGGGAGAACTGACAAGTGTCAATAGGGAGCAAGGAGTATGCCAACTCTTCTACTCTGACCAGTGACTTGCGAGGAATGATTAAAAGTATGGCCAGAACTGGAAAGGATAATCAGGGAAGGCTGTGCCATTGGGGTAATAGATTTTGGTAATAGCTAGAAGATGAAAGGAGTGGGAGAGGAAAAGACTTAAGATGAAGGGAATTTTGTTGTCTATGGAACAGGTATTTCATAGGGCACAGTGGAAGGGGTGAGTGGCTTTTTGTTGGAACTTTGGGGTGGGAGGGTTGAGGAGGATAGGAATAAAGAATTGGGTGGTAGGATATGGGGAGTGTGGTTTGGATGATGACCTACAAATTTCAAAGATAAGGTTGCATTTGATTTGAATTTTAAAAGATAGATAGGAATTCAGCAGGGAAAGAGAAAGAGGGAAGATAGTCCAGGCATAGAGAGCAGCATGCATTTAGGGTTGAGCAAGGGCATGGAAATGAGAAAGCACAGGAAATATTGGAGGAACAGAGAGTGGTCTAGTCTTGCTGAAGTGTAAAGTGTGGGGAGAAGACTAATATGAGATAAGACTAAAAAGGTAGGGTAGGGCCAGATTATGGCAAACCTTGAATGACAGACAAAGCAGGTTGAATTTTACTTGGCAGGCAATAAGAAGCCACCATAGATTTTTCAGCAGTGGCATGACCAAATGTATTTGAAAGGAAGATTAATCTAGTAGCAATCTGAAAACTGTATTGGAGGTGACAAAGAATGGAAGAAAGCCTGTTAGAAAGCTGTTGTCCAGACAAGCAGCAGATCTGTACTAGAGTGGTGACAGTGGGAATAAAGAGAAAAGAGATGATGGAGAGGTCAAGGAAGATAGGAACTGGGGGGAGAGGGGGGAGAACATTTAATTTGGCATTGAGGAAATCATTTGGAAGTCACCTTTGGAAGAGCAGTTTGAAGAGAGTGGTGGGACAAGTAGAATTAGAAGGGACTGAGAAGAGAGCAGGTGGAGAGAAAGTGAAGATATTACTTCTTCTTCTTCTTCTTCTTTTTTTTTTTTTGCCTTTGTTCCTGGATGGGATATCAACCTACTTATGTTCCCAAAGTGCCCTTCCCTAACTACCACTCTCCTTTGTGTGCTGTGTCTCCCAATAGAATGTAAGCTCCTTGAGGGCAAGAAATGTTTATTTTTGTATTTGTATCCCTAGCACTTAGCACAGTGCCTTGAACACAGTAATAAATACTTATTGACTATTGAGGATTAAGTGATTTATTTATTTTAAATTTATTTATTTTTAAAGCAATTACTACCTCTCTCTCACTACTCCTTCCCCTAGTTGAACAAAGAAAAAACAAAAAAATAAAATCCTTATAACAAATACGCATAGTCCAGCAAAACAAATACCCATATTGACCATGTCTCAAAAATGTTATGTTCCATTCTGCATTTTAAGTCCAACACCTCTCTGGCAGGAGGTGGGTAGTGTGTTTCATCTTTAGTTCTCTGGATTTATGGTTTGTCATTATATTGATCAGAGTTTTAAAGTCTTTCAAAGTTGCTTATCAAATGTTTATATAAAATGAAAATTTTAAAAAATATGAGCAGAATCATGAACGTGTTTTTAGGCAGTAGGGAAGAACTAATAGACAATGAAAATTTCAAGATTAGTGACAGAGTAGGGGTGAGAGTGGGAGTCATGTGTTGGAGAAGAGAGGATAGAATGGGATCAAAGTTGCAGCTGGAGGATTTTGTCTCTGCAAAGAGAAGAGCTACCTCCTCATATGAGACAGAGGTAAAAGAAAAAATATTTGAGAAAGATGTCTGAGGGATGTAATTTAAAGAAGTGGGCAGAAGAGTGATCCCTCAGCGAATGGCTTTAATTTTTTCCAATGTAGGTCCTCAGGTTAGAGGATGGTTGTCATAATAGGTTTGAAGAAATACGAAAGTGTTTCCAACAGTCACTGTGGTGAGTGGGACAGTGAATCGACTGTGGGGAGTTGTAAAAAAATTGCCTTTTTGCAATGAGGGCCCAAGGGATATTAGACCCAATATCATGGTTTCAAGGTTTTCTCTAGCTCCCTTCAACAACAGGTGAATAGGAGAGGTGAATGGAGGGAGTAATCAAAATATGTTTTAATCGTAATTTTAATAACTACATTTATTATTTTTCTAATGTTGAACCATCCATTCATTCCTGGTTTGAATCCAACTTGATCAACAGCGGATCACATTTTGAACAGATTGCTAGTCTTCTTGAGGCCACTAGGTGGCGCAGGGGTCGCCTTGAACAAACTCTGCCTCGGACTGCAGGATCACCAGAAGTCACTTAACCTTTCTCCGAAGCCTGTTTTCTCATCTGTAAAATGGGAATAATGGGAGCACCTACCTCACAGGGTTATTGGGGAGGAATCAGAGAAGATAATCTGCGGCGCAAACCTTAAAGACCTATATCAGGGGTAGCTATTATTTTGCCAGAATTTAATTCAAATTTTTAAACCAATTTTCACTAACGACACTGGTCCATGCAGACCTTTTTCTCTGCTTTATCCTTTCCTGGTTTAGGTATTAGGACCATACAAATCTCATAAACGAAGCTCGTTGGAAAGTCAGTTTTACAAGAAGGAGTCAGCAGCGCATGCGCTTCCGGGGAAGGCAAGTGCATACGCATGCGCATTCCTCACGCAGTTTGCGAAGAGAACGAAGGCGTGTGTTCAGGCCTCGTCTCTGAACGTTTCTTGAGGCCTCTGCAGCTTCTCTATCCTACACACTTAAGGCCTGGCCACTTCCACCACCAAGGCTCGGGATGTTTCCTGAGCTTAATAACTTGCTGAACGTCAGCCCTGAGAAGCCAGAGCAGGTAAGGAAGTCACAGAGCGTGAAGGGAGAAATCCCGGCATGCCTCGTGTTCGCTCCGAACTTCCTGCACTACATCTCCCAGGGGGCTTTGCGCCTAGTGCCGGAAGGGAAAGGGGCGGTTGGCATGGCACGCCGGGACTTGTAGTTCCCAGGGAAGTTACACAGGACCTTGGGTACTTTGGCGTAGAATGCAAGATCTTTTATGAGTGTTTCTTGGGAGGAGGCATTTTTCCGTTTAAAACAGGACGGTATTTGAAGGACCCTTGTGGAGCGTGAGTCGTGCTATTTAGTGTTTTTTAAGTTAATCGAACTGGGGTTCTTTGTGTTTTGCTTTTTAAACAAGTGGTCGAAGAGTTGGAAGATGTGGGTTCGAATATGGGCTCTTTGACCTTGGGCACGCGGAGTTCCAAGGTTTTCCACCTGTAAAATAGGGATTGCTTAGCTGAGTGCACATTGTTTCCCTCTTGTAGAATGTAAGCTCCTTGAGGGCAGGTGCTGTTCTGTTTTTGTCTTTCTAACCCTGATCCCCTTTCCAACCTCTCTCCAGTACAGTGACTTACACAAAGTAGATAGGAACTTAATGTTGTCTAAAAATGATTGAAATAATTGGTGTATTACCTGCCCCACGGTATTGTTGTGCTTTGTAAAACCTTGAAGCTCTGTATAAATGTGAATAATTATTCATTTCACACATAATATATGTAATCTTATTATATATATACATATAATGTTGCATATTACATAATGTATTACATGTTAGATATAAAATCTAGGCACTATATAAATGCTAGCTATTATTAACAATAATTACTGTTACAGTTATAGGACATATCCTAGAGGGGTGAAAAGGCAGTAATAACTAAAACTTGTTTGATATTTCTGATGTAGTGAAAAGAATACTGGATTTTGAATCATAACATTAAAGTTTGAATATTGACCCTATAAATGATGGACTGGAAGGACACTAGTATCATCCTGTCTTTGACACTTCTAAGCAAGTCACTTAAACTCTCCAGACTTAAGTTTCCTCATTTGTCAAATGGGGAAAATAATAGCACCAGCCTGACAAGGCTGATTATGAGAGTCAAATGAGATGATGTAAAGTGCTTCATAAACCTTAAAATGATATATAAATGCTGGGGGATGGTAGTAGTAGTAGTAGTAGTAGTAATAATTCTAATCCTTCATAGACCTTCCCCTGGACAATTATTTTTTTTTTTGCTTTTTGGTGAGGCAGTCAGGGTTGAGTGACTTGCCCAGGGTCACACAGCTAGTAAATGTCATGTGTCTGAGGCCAGATTTTAACTCAGGTCCTCCAGACTCCAAGGCCGGAGCTCTACCTACTGTGCCATCTAGCTGCCCCCACCTGGACAATTTTAATAGGCTCCTGACCTCTGTCTCTTGTCTCTTCAACCTTCAATTTTTTTCCTTCCCACACCTATTAGAAAGATTTTTCTGATGCATAAACAGTTCCAACCATGGTACTGTCTTGCTGAAAAGCCTTTAATGTTCATTTGTTTCAGTTGTGTCTGACTCTTCGTGACCCCATTTGGGGTTTTCTTGACAGAGATACTGGGGTGGTTTGCCATTTCCTTTTCCAGCTCATGAGGAAACTGAGGCAAAAGAGTAATCCTTTTATCTGACTTGCCCAGGGTTACCCAGCTAGTAAGTGTCTAAGGCCAGATTTGAACTCATGTCTTCCAGACTTCAGCTCTAGCACTCTATCCACTGTGCCACGTAGCTGCCCTAGGTTCCATATTGTATACCAAATAAAATAAAAACTTCTTACGTTGCATTCAAAGCCTGCTAAAACATGGTGCTACGATGTGACTATTATGGATATGTTTTGCATGATTACACATGCATAACCTATATTGAATTGCTTGCCTTCTCAATGGGGGGTGGAGGTGGGGAAGGAGGAAGGGAGAGAATTTGGAACTCAAAGTTTTAAAAACAAATGTTAAAAATTGTTTTTACATGTAACTGGGGAAAAATAAAATACTAAATAAAAGCTTAAAAAAAAAAAAGCAAAACATGGTACCAACCAACTTTTTCAGATTTCTCATGATAACTCTGTTGGTCAAGAAATACGCATCATCTGTGTACTATTTACCGTATCAGGCATTTAGAGATACAAAGTTTAGCGATGATACTGTCCCTTCCCTTATGGAACTTACAGTCTGGTAGAGGTGAATGATATATACACATATAACTGTAATACAATATTATACATGACAGGTGCCTTAGAGGGGTATAAACACAATGCTAAAGTGATGCCTGCCTGAGCTCAGAGGGAGAGGTGGTCACCATGTCGGGGCATCAGAGAGAGCTTCCTGAGCCCTGTTTTGAATAGACATTTAACTCAAGAGAGACTTGTTTTACCCTATTTTGGCTTCCAGCAAAAAGTCCCCCATAATCTCGCATCATCTCAGTGCCCTGACAGGTCCCAGCCCACCATGATGACTCACCAGCGTTGCTCCCCACGGGTCCCAACATGTTGCACGCCGCATGTAGAACACGGCAGTTGAGCTGTGTCTTGAAGGAAGAAAGGGATTCTGGGAACTTGGCTTGTTCCCCCACTTCCCCTGCCCTCCAGGGAAGCCAAACTGGCTTTCTCTCAGTTCTTTATGTGGCGCTCTGTCTTCCGTGGCTCCACCTTGGCACTGGATGTACCCCGTGACTGGAATGCATCCTCTCCTCACCTCTTTTTCTGAGACTCATTTTGTTCTACAAGACCCAGCTCAAATGCTACCTTCTGTATGAAACCTTTCCTGATCCCCCCAACTGCTCGTGCCTTCTTCCTTCCCTTGTATTTATTCTCTACATTTATTTCATACATACTTATGTAAGAATAATAGCTAACATTTATATAGCACTTCCTATGTGCCAGACACTATGCTGAGCACTTTACAAGTATTATCTGATTTGATCCTCACAACAGCCCTGGGAGTAGGTGCTGTTTTTGTCTCCTTGTCTTCCACATGAGGAAACTGAGGTAGACAGAGGTTAAGTAACTTGCCCAGGGTCACACAGATAGTAGGTATCTGAGGCAGGATTTGAACTCAGGTTTTCCTGACTCCAGACCTAGCACTGTATCCACTGAGCCACCTAGCTGCCCCATAAATATGTGAGTGTGTGTGTGTGTATCATATGTATGTGTGTTATGTATATATGTACATCACCATATATATGTGTATATATATGTCCATTGCCTAGCACAGTGCCTGGCACATAGTAGGCATTTAGCAGATGCTTGATTTCTGAGATCTTTAAGTTAGCTTTCAAGGAAGATAGGAATTTAACAAGTGAAGAAGGGGGAGAGGGGAGGAGGAATTGTAGAATTAAGAAACACCATAAGCAGATGCAGGGGGCAGTGAGTAGTTCAGTTGATGGGATTTGGGGGAAAGCTGATCATAATTGTCCATTTTGATTTTCTGTATTACTGTTTCATTTTCTATCTTTTTTTATAATTTGGAGGATGTTGTACATATTTTAAAATAACCATTAAGTACAGAAATTTAGAGGAAATGACATTACTACTTGACCCTATAAACTTCACCATCTGTTGCCTTTTCCCCCATAGGCTTGTTAATCTTTTTGTATTTTTAAGGGGACGTTTACTCTGCTCTGCGATGCCAAGACAGATGGAAGCTTCCTTGTGCACCATTTTCTCTCCTTTTACCTCAAAGGTACGGTAGCATACAGCCTGGGAAGAGACCCACAGACACAGAGTCCTTTGTGACTTAATTGTCCTCGTTTGGGAAATGAGCTATCCTTTGAGAAGTGCCCAGATAAACATGGAGTTGTAGTGGGGTTTTTGTTTGTTTGAGAAGCTAGAGGCCATTTCTCTAGGCAACCAGAAACTTGGTCATCCACTTAATTTTTTTCTCTTGTAAATTCCTCGATAGTAGGGAAGAACACCTGAAGAGAGAACATGGGGCTTAGAATCAGAAATCCTACATTCAGGCCTAGTTCTGCCACTGATGGCCTGTATGGCCTTGTGACTGGCCTTTTAACCTTTGTGCTGCCAGTACTCATCTGTAAAATGGGGGTGGCAATGCCTTTTCCTTCCCTGACTCCTGGGTCCTTGACTGTCAGTGCCCCAGAGTCAGGCACTGATCACGGGCATCATTCGCTGACAGAATTCACGGATGCCAATAAGCTGGACATCTAGATAGGCAAGAGGAGGTCATCAGGTCAAGGATCTGACTGATGGTCAAGAGAATCATTAGGAGAATAGAGACCGATTTCCTTTGTTGAATGAAAGTAACAAAACAAAACTTCCCCTTCCACTTCTTTCACAGGAGCTACTAAGAGGGCCAAGATCTCCACAGTATCTATCCCTTCTTTGGAAAGTACTTCTGTCAGTTCTTGTCCTAGAAAGATGTGTTGATTTAAGGAGGTCTTAAAGACCAACTTGAGTTTAACTAATCCTTTTCTTAGAGAGAAAATAAACTTCACATGTATTCTCCTTTATCCTTCCATCCCTATAAGGCCACGTTGGGATTTGACCTTTCATAATAACAGCACACACTTCTGGAAGGTCTCTGACTTGGCGCTCATGGACCCTGGGAACCAGTGCAGGCATTATTATTGTTCTGACTTTACCCAGGAAGACACATCCTCAGGAGTGCAGGACAAGATCCTTTAGGCAGCCCAGCTGCCATCACACCTGAAAGTGAGCCTGGTCCAGGAGCACAGGGTTCTGGACTGACCAGAGCTGCTTCTGCCAGGCTTTCCTCATCAGAGAGTGAGGCCTTGCAGGGGGACAGAGCTGGACTTGGAGAAGACTGCGGTCCTGACTGCCGGGTGCCGGACAAGTCATTTCCTTTCTTGAGTCCTCAGTTCGTTCCTCTGTAACTCACTGAGCTAGATGACCTTCCAGATCACTTCCACCTGTGAATCATAGATTTTTGAGCTGGAAGGGACCTTACAGGCCATCAAAGCCAAGAATGGAGGAAACTGAGAATCCTGCCTCATAGGGAGACAGTGTGTGTGAAACTTCTCCCTAAAAGAGAAGTATTGGGTAAATTGAGGCTAGTTGGCTAGGAGGCTTTAATCTCTCCAAACCCATACAACCTCTTGCAATTAGAACTTATAGCAAATAATATTTGGATTCTTTTTTTTCCCTAAATAAGTTAGATATATTGTAGAGATCGCAGTCTTCTTAGCTCCCCTCTGAAAGAAGTGAGTGAGAAGTAACATTTTTTTTCTATTTAGTAGGTGAAATTAGTATGGCAGGACAGAGGGATGAACTTGAGTTAGTGGTGGATGGAGTCTTTGGTAGAGTTCAGAATAAAATCCAGGTTTCCTTGTTAGCAATTACTTCTTAATGCTAGAATATGCCACCTCAAAGTGTACGCGCAGGTAGTGAATCCTCTTGGTCAGTGTGTCATTTTTATTGATTTCCAGTGTTACAAACAAAATATGTAATGCTGTATGTGAGCCAGAATCTTATTAATGATGAACTTATCTTATTTTCCAGCTAACTGTAAGGTTTGCTTTGTGGCCCTTCTCCAGTCCTTCAGTCACTATAATATTGTAGGTCAAAAGCTGGTGAGTAGTTTTGGGTGGGTGGGTGGGTGTGTGTGTGTGTGTGTGTGTGTGTGTGTGTGTGCGCACGTGCATGAGGGGAGGGAGGAAGACAGGGACAGAAAGAGAGAGAGAAAGAGAGTAGGGGAGGGGAGAGGAAGAGGAAGGAGAAATTGCCCTTCGGGAATTTGTCATCTAGTTGAGGATACAGACATAAAACAAACCCTAATAATAAAGGCAGCATATTCAGATGGCTCAGTGGACATATAATTGCATTGAGGTGGATATTTCCTCTGATGGTACGGTTTCTAACCTCATCCCATGTAGTTTTTGTCCGTGTTCTTCATATATCTTACTTAATTGGTGGGAAATAATGGACATAAATGTGTCGGCTTGTGCTAAAAACCACATGAGTGGTGTAGACTGGAAGCATCATAGGGGTTGAGTGGTGAGGGAGAGCACTCGGGGTTGAGGCAGTTGGAAGAGGTTTCACAGAGGACATGGGATTCAGGGCAAGCTTTGAAAAGAAGTTTCGTTTGACACAGTGTCGAGGAAAGGGCAGGATATTCTGTTTTGGGCAAATGACCTGAGCAAAGGTCCAGAAGTGGGAATGTTCGTGATGGATTTGTTCATGTAAGGGACCAATGGGAGAGAAGGTTGAGGAGACCCCAAAATGTTAGCCTAGCCTGAGTGCTAGGCTAGAGAATTTGGACTTTATTTGGTAGGCCGTGGGGAGCCATTGAATGGTTACATATCAGTCCTTTCTTTAGAGAAATTCTAAGGAGATAGGCTTTTTGCATAATTTTATTTAATTGTGATACAGGACCCCTAGTAATATGCAGAATTCATTTAAACCAATACTATTAATTTAAAAAAAAATTATGAGGATGCAATGAGGAAGAGAAAGGAAGGGAGGGGAGAGGTAGTGAACCAGATGTGGAAAGACCTTTGTGATGGATGTGGCTTTTTTGAGCTGTGAATAGTGTGAGGCGCTGGGGCTTGCTTCACTGGTTGAGAAATAGAGTACTTGGCTTAGGGCATGGGAAAACTTGGTGATTTCATTCAACAAAGGTGGTAGGTGTTGGGGATGCAAATTCAAGAATGAGACAGTTCTGCCCTCCAGGAACTTACATTCGACAAGGGAGATACAACATCTTACAGATAAGAAAATATAGTGCATGCACACACACACTCACACATACACATACACTCACACACGTAGAAGGACCTTTTGGAGGATACAGCACATGAGCTGGGCCTTGAAGTGAGGTAGAAGAGAGCGAAGAGCACTCCAGGCCTAGAGAAGAGCCCTTGGAACAACCACAAGAGGGAAGCTATCACTTCCTACCTGTGAGACGTTGGGCTAGATACCTTCTCTCTCTGGGTTTCAGTGTTCTGTAAAATGTTGGACTCTGATCTCTCAGTCCATGAACATTGACTTAGTTATCAGAAAGAGGGCCAGATAGTGTGCTTAGGGACTATAGAATGGGAGTGTATGATGAAAAAATTAGGTCTCTGTGAGAAGTTTGGTATAAAATGCAAAGTAAAATTGCATCATAGATTGATAGGATCATTTGTTTATTGGCATGTTTAATCATTGAGCTACAACTTCCTCTTGTACAACATTCTCTTTCCAATGTACTATTCTCCATTTCCAAATCATCTTCTATTCCTCTACTTATATACTCAGATCAGCAAGAAAACAATATATAAGATAGAGATATAGGCTTTGCTGAGGTACAGGGTAAGCTTACCCCCTCCTCCTATTCTAGAGGTTCTTTTGAGACGGTATTCCCCAAGTGCTTTAGATTACTGATAAAAGTCACTCTGTGAGTAGCCATCAATTTCAGGACCGTTTGTATGGGTGATCCCCATGTATCCCTGTTGTGGTGGTGCTGTGGCGATGGGAAATCATTTCATTGTCATCAGTGTTATAGGGTGAGAGATATGGAGAGTATTCTGACTTTGAGGAGATTTCTTGAGGTGAAGGACCAGGACTTGTCTCATCCTATGCTCTTTTATTATAATAGGGGGTCAATCTGATTGCTGCCCGAGATCGGGGACAGTTGGTATTCCTTGAAGGCCTGAAGTCCACTGTTGAAGTCCTCTTTGGGTCAGAGGAACAGCCAAACACCCTCAAGTTCATCAGGTTAATGATCTTCAACCTAACCCTAACATGGAAATTCTTAGCATCTGGGTGTGGATTGTTGCTCAATTCTTCTTTGCCTGGGGTGTGGACTTCCTGGCACTGGCTGCTGCTGTCACTGCTGTTCTACCACCTTCTCCACTCAAGTGATAGTGACATCTTATTGTTCACTGAAACCTGATTTCACCTGGAGAAACCTGTCCTGATAAGATTGTGATGGGGGTACCCTGTTGTGATTTGACCTATTCTACAACCCCTTGGGCATGTTACTTCCTGCAGGGAAAACCTCCACCCTTTTCATTCAGTTTGACTGGATCATACAGCACTTAAATCAATAGATCTATCAGCAAATTTTTATTAAGTGCTAAGTCTGGGTCAGGCACTGTGCTGCTAAAGTAGATACAAAAAAAGAGAAAGAAAGATGAGGCAACTGAAGGAAGACCAGAAATGGGCACAGACAAGCAGGTTAGCTTTGAAAACTACAGACTAAACTTGTTATCTATTCAAATAGAAGAACAAGCTGAACATAATAGAGATCTACAGATGATGCTTGTTGACTCTATGAATGTGGAAATGCTTGTTTTATTGGTGTTGAGTTCAGAACAGAAATAAAATTTTAAAAAATGAAAGATGTGTAGTATCTGTCCTTAAGGAGCTTCCATTCTGATGGGAGAGGCAACATGTCATAAAAAGGCACATAAAAATGAATATAAATAGAATGGAAGAGGAAAAGCTGCAGCAGGTGAAGCAGAGAAGAGTGAGACAAGGCTGGCAAGATTAGGTGAAGTCTGATTACAGGAGACCTGTTCCCTTAAGGGGGTAATGGGGAGCCACTGGAGGTTTTTGAGTGGGGCAGTGAAATAATCAAACTGTTTTATCTAGAATTTGTGACAGGGAAGACTGGAAGAGTCCTGGACTGGTTTGGGGAATGGTGAGTGGTTCAGTTTGGCAAGGATGTGACATTACGTGACCAGGAGTAAGTCCTTCTACCAACTGTACCACATTACCTTTTGTGTAGCTGGGCAAGGCACTTCCCTTTCATTATCCTTGGGTAGTTTCTTCTACTTCCAAACTCCTCGTGGGGTTGCCTCAGGGTATGTGAAGTCACTGGACTTTCTCAAACCTAGAATATACTGATTACAATTTTGTTCTTTGAGCCCAGACACCCAGTGGGGCCATTTTACATCCGCTCGCTGACTGTTGGACCCACCTGGGCTAAAGATCATCTTAAATATCATAGTCAGTGAGAGAACTGGGCAATTTGTTTCTTTTGCCTCTGGGTCAGTGAATTATGTTCTTTCCAAAGCCTTTTTGCAAAATTTTGGTGTGTCTTAATGAAGAGGACATCAGAGAACCTACTGTCACTTTGCTTTTTCTTTAGAAGCCAATATCTTTATTGAGTGAATGAATGAAAGTTTCCACTAGCTAATTCTCTGGCATTTTTAATTTTGCAAACTTCTAACAGTTTGGCCTTTGTAGATAGCATTCTCATTTTTCTAAATGAAGACCAAGGAGCAGGGGAAAGAGGTTTGTTTCTTATGGTCACTGATGTTGTGGTATAACTGAAGCACCACAGGACTTTGGGTCAGGTGGCTTTGGATCAAGCCTGACCTCTGCAGTTTAGTAACAGTGACACTAGGGACAAGTCCTTTCACTTCTCTGGGCTCCAGTTTCCTCATTTGTAATTTTGGGGAAATATCCTAGGTAGAACAGGGCCATAGAGCAGTGGCTTTGGAGTAGGACTTGGGTTTAAATCCTGACTACCCATGGGGGAGGGGAGCCTTGGGCAAGTCCCTTCCCCTTCTTCAGTCTTGGTTCCCTTATCTGTAAAACAGAGAGGTTGAATGAGATGGTCTCTGTGGTCTCTTCAGCTCTGAATCGGGTAATCACTGATTCTTGCCCATAGTCACTCAGTGAATTAGTATTAGAAGTTCCTGAGCTCTCATCTGCTTGTTCGTGTCTATGTGTATTCCTGTAGAATGATACAGACCTCCACCTTCCACCTCTAGGCTAGCTTTTGGATGGTATTTTGGTTGGGTTTAAATTGGGCTTGGGGATAATAACTTGCCATTTAAGGCCCATTCCAGTCCCCCCACCTCCCACCTCTGGAAGCTTCACCCAGCCACTTCAACTCTCAGGGATCCAGACCTTTTAGAAGCTCAGAGTACTTGCCTTATACATAAGGCTTCCTCAACACTTACCCATACTCTGCCTTGGGGCTTCTCTTGGTTGCCATCTGTTGTTAATTCTTGTGTTATTGTTAGTTTTTCTAATGTGTTCTGTACCACATCTAACTACAGACTTCTGAAGGAATAAGCTCTAAACCCTCCCCCTCCATCATGTCTAGCAAAGAGTAGGTGCTCAAGGACACTGCTTGAATGGATGAATAAACTGATTTACAGGATTTTGTTTTTTGGGGGGGTTCTGGTTCCTTGTTTCCAGAGAGTCTGGCTCTGACCTGACGTCCTGGTATGAGTTGGTGCAGAAAGCTCTGGCTCCCTCAGGTGATGGTGATGCTGCTTCGTGGAAGTGCCCGGTGATTTTGGTGGATGACCTGAGTGTCCTGCTCAGTTTGGGTGTTCAAGCAGTTGCTATTCTGGACTTCATCCAATTCTGTAGAGTCACTGTCTGCTGCCGGTTGAAGGTACTGTTCAGTCCTCATGCTTTTATTTCCTGTGATCTTTAAGACCTGAAAGTAGGGGAGGAAGCGGCCCCTCTCTAGGTCGGTGGCTGTTCATCCTTTCCAACCTTTGGCCTGCTCTGATAGGACCAAAGACCTTTCAGGAACCGTCTTTGCTCCTACACCTGCCCCTCCTCTAGATTTCCCAATTTCTGTTGAAATGTTTCATCACCCAATTCCTCAGGTTCACAACCTCAGAGGCACTCTTTCCTCTTCCCTCCTACTCATCCCTCAGAGCCAATCAGTTGTCAGATCTTAAACATTTTCGCTCTAGAAGACCTCATCTAGGTGACTTCCATTCTGTTTTCTTCACTCCTAGAGCTGAACTCAAAGAGTTCGGTCCTTATCATCTCTTACTCCAAGTCCCGCACTGTCCCTTCAGGGAGCTGACCTCCTGCTTCTAGACCTTCTTGACTCAGAGCTCGGCAACCCAGGCAGCTCCTGGGACAGTCCCTCTTCTGCTCTAACTTACATTGGCTTCCAGAATAATAGAAAAAATTCTTCAGCCTGGCACTGAAAACCCTTTACAATCTGGCATTGGCTTACCTTTCAAAACTGCTAGCTCTGTTCAAGAAATGTTTTATTGATGCTTTTAAATGTTTGTGTATTTCAGCCCAACTCTTTCAGCTCTTCCCCCACTCCACCCCTCATTAAGGCCACCCTTATGCAAAGAAAACCAGTTGAAGAGTGTCTGCAGTAGTCTGGTCTTGTCATCCCCTCCCTCTGCCATCACGGGGGAAGTATAATTCATTATTTGTTCTCTGGGACTTTCCTGCCTTATTTCAGAATATTCTTCTTCACATATTTCATGTTCTAGCCAAACTGGCCTATTTTTCCCCCCAAATTTGACATCCCATCTATTTTCTCCATGCCTTTACACAGACTTATTCCCCACTTTTAAAAAAATTATTTAATTAATTTTTGTCGCATTTTGTTGTCTGCCTTCCTCCCTCCCAACCCCACGTTAGAGAAGGCCAGCATTTGATCCGGGGGGGTGGGTGGGTGTGTGTGTGTGTGTGTGTGTGTGTGTGTGTGTGTGTGTGTGTGTG